TCTTTTAGCTGTTATAAGAAAGCCATATTACAGTGCACACTTTATGGCTCTCCAGTGATATGTTTATGTATACAGTTTGCTATTTGTGTTTTTCATTGTTTTACATATATGTAATTTGTTGTTCGTTTAGGTGATGGCTTAAATAAACACGCGTAGTTATCGTCTAGTCAATGGGTTTCACGTGTCAGCCATTTTTCGAAACCGTTTTGAAGAGTTGTTTCGAAATGTGGATTCGCCGGAATCTGTTTCGAAAATACATATACGGGAGAAAAAACGTATAGAAATTAACGGCAGTGGAAAAAAAAACGTAGAAATTAACGACAGTGGAGGTCTCTGTTATATCAAAATTTAGTTGCATCTTGGCTTATCTTTAGCCGTCACGTCTGATAATAAACACTTTAAGATGTCTGTTTTTACTCCTTTAAGAAAACAAGATCTTCAGTTACGTGTATTACATTGCCTGAAAAAGATATTTTTCCCGGATTCTCTTGACCCCTTTTGGAAATTCACAAGCCTAAATCAATAAAAAAAAGTAGTATAACAAACATCTGGATGATCTTATATAAATAAATAATAAAAAAAATACATCCCTCGTTGAGATTGAGAATTATTTAACATTTTTATGCGGCCGTTCCACTCTCTCAAAAAAATGGGAAAAATATATATTAATTTTCCTTATACGTTGCGCATGATACCTCCATTATAGTAACAAATGTTCGTGATGCTGTACTTTAATCCCCTAACTTGATAGAGAGAAATTTCAGCGTACAAATTCTTCTAATTGTGGTCCGTGAGGCCCATGAGGGAGAGAAGAAGTAGATAAGGGCGGTTTTCACGAGATAAATTGATAATGATGATAATGATGATGATGATAATGATGGATATAAGAGAGATGGTAATGTAAATAATATTAGTGATGCTTATGATCATGATAGTAATAGTGAGTGCTGTGTTAATAATGACAATAATGTAGAGAATGATTATGATAATCATAATAATGATCATGAAAATTATGATAATGATTACAACAACAATTATAATAATGATAATGGTAACAATTATGAGATAAATTGATAATGATGATGAGGAGGAGGATAATGATGGCAATAAGAGAAATGGTAAAGTAAATAATTTTAGGAATGTTTATAATAGTAATAGTGAGTGCTGTGTTAACGGTAATAATGACAATAATGAGGAAAATAATTATAGCAATCATATTAATGGTAATGAGAATAATGATAATGCTAAGAAAAACAATAATATAATAGATAATAATGAAGAAAATAAGATGATCATAATTATAATGAGAACAAATTGACAGCAATAATGATGTTAATGATGATGGTAATATTAATAATAACAATAATAATGCTGAAGAAAATAATAACAAAATAATAATGATAATGATGATAATGATAGTGATACTACTACTATTACTACTAATGATAATAATAATAATAACAATAATAACACATAAGATAATGATAAAAATGATACATATAAGATAATAATACACTACTAATGATAAATGGCAATGATAATATTAATAATGATAATGATATTAAAGATAGTAATAATAAGGATGATAATATTAAGAATGATAAAAAGATAGATAATGATAAGAGTAATAATAATGAAATAATAATAATAAATGTATAATAACAACAATAATGATAATAAAAAATAATGACTACAATGGTATTAAAATAATAATAATAAAATAATATGACAATATATCATGAAGATGAACATAAGAATAATAATAAATGTAATAAAGATAATAATATAAAATAAAAATAATAATAATAATAATAATAATATAATAATGATAATAAATAATAATAATAATAATGACAATAATGATATAATAGTAATAAACATTGATAATAATAATAAGGATAATAATATAATAATTAATAATAATAATAATAATAATAATAATAATAATAATAATAATATAATAATATAATAAATTAATAATAATAATAATAATAATAAAATAATAATAATATAATAATAATAATAATAATGATAATAAGATAATAAAAAAAATAAGGATAATAATAAAATAATAATAATAATAAATGATAATCATTAACAATAATATTGATAATAAAAATGATAATGATAATGATATGATAACACTTAATAATAACAGTAATAATGATAAATAATGATAGAATAATTATGTTTATTACTGCTAATAATAAATTATTTTTTGTTTTTTGTTATTTTTATTATCATTAGTATCATTATTATTGTCATTATTATCATTATCATTATTGTTATTATTGTTGTTATTATCATTATACTAATATAATAATTGTAATGAATAGTGATAATAAAAATCATCAAGAGGATAAGGAATAATAATAATAATAGCCATAATAATGATAGTAATGATGGTGATAAAGATGATGATAATAACAACGATAAGGATAATAATAATTATTATAATGATGACAATAATGATAAAAATGATCGTCATAATAATAATGATAATAATGATAATAATAATGACAATATTAATAATAGAAATAGTCATGACAATGATAATAATGATAATAATAATGATAAAAAGGAATGATGATGATATGATAATAATAATGATATGATAATAATAATAATGATAATAATAATAATGATAATAATAACCATAGAAATGATGATGATAATGATAAAAAGATAATGATTAGTATGACAACAACAACAAAGATAATAATAGTAGCATTAATAATACTAATGATAACAAGAACAGCAATATAAAAATGTTAATAATAATGACAATGGTGATAATTACTACAATTGTAATAATGACAATGATAATAATAATAATCATCATAGTAATAATAATAACAACAACAACAACAATAATAATAGTAGTAGTTTTAATAATGATTATAACAATAATAATACTAATGACAATGGTAATAATGATGACGATAATAATGATAATAATAAAAATAATGATAATGATAATAATAATTAATAATAATAATAATAATAATAATAATAATAATAATAATAATAATAATAATAATAATAATAATAATAATATAATAATAATAAATATATAATAATATAATAATAATAATAATGAAAATAATAATAATGAATTAATAATTAATAATAATAATGATAATAATATATGATAATAATATAATTAATAATAATATATGATAATAATGATATTGATAATGATAATAATAATATGATAATAATGATGATAATAATTATGATAATACTGATGATAAAAAAATTTGATAATAGTAATAATGATAACAAAATAATGATAATAATGATAATAATAATAATGATGATAATGATAATAAATAAATAATAAAGATGACTTTAATGACAATGATGATAATATCAATATCAATAACAATAATAATAATAATCATAATAACAATGATGATAAGGA